AGTGAGACTCTGTCTCAAAAAAACAAACAGTGAATGTAGAATCCCCTTCCCTGTGGGGCTTGGAATAGCAGAGTTGGGCCAGGGCAGCCGAAATGCCATGAAGGTGCCATTGCTTCCCTGGGAGCTCTGGGCTGCGGTGCCCTGCAGAACGGCACCCCAGCTGGGGGAAGAGAGTCTGACTCCTGCACTCACACATCATTGGATGGGGCTCCCTGTGCAGGACAGGTGGTCCCAGATGTGGCAACTCCCATGGGCCATGCACAGGCAGGGACTCAGACTCTCACTGTGGTCTGTGGTGCAGTGTGCCCAGAGCCATGTCAGGGGAATCTCTCTGTGCCTCTTCCTTGGGACTACCAGGCCTGGTCCTTTGCCAGCTTTCTACCATCCGAGGCATCCTGATGTACAGGGGAGTGCCATGATGCACCCATTCCTCTTCCTGAGCAAGAAGGGGATTGGTCCCAGCTTCTAGAACTGTCACGGAGTATTTTACCCACACTTCTGTCTTTAGCCCTGGGAATGGCCTTTGCTGTTCTAGTTCACAGATGAGAAAAATGATGAGAAAAATGATACAGATGAGAAAAAAGAGAGAGAGACACCTAAGGTCAGGGCTAGGTGTCCCTACCTGGTGCCCCTTCCCTGTATTTTACCTTTTCTTACCCACTTTTGTTTCTTAGCCATGTGCTCTTGAGCAGGTCATCTGACCACTTTTGTTCTCAGATTTTGTTTTAGAAATATGATTCTGATCTGTCCTGCCTCTCTCGTTTCCCTCTGTCCCAGGAGAGACGTGTGCACATGCTTTGTACCTGAGCCTGTGTTCTGATTTCTCTTTAGATGTCCCCCAAACCTCATGAACCCAGAGTCCAGGGTTTTGGGAGAGTTTATAGCTAAATGTGCTGTAGAGAGGTGGGGTCTGCTGAGAAGAGGTGGGCCCCTGGGGCTTGGTCTGGGAAATTCAGCTCTCTCCCTGGCTCCTCCTTCCAAACTCCACTTCCTGTCCACCGTGCTGTGAGCAGCTTTTCCTTCACCAGGCCCCTCTGCTATGCAGCCTGCCTTGAAGCCAGCTGACTGTGGACTGAAACATGAGCTAAAATCAATTTTTCCTTCAACTTGTATGTGCCTGATATTTTGTCCCAGTGGCAAGGAAAGTCACTTAGCCTGTGCCCTGCTTCTCTAACCCCCTGGCCCCAACAAGTTTGCCCCACCTGTGTCTCCCTCATCAGGCCTGCAGAAGCCCTGGGCCTCTAGTCTAGGGAGAGGACTAAGCAACAGGGAGCGGGGCTGTCTCTTCCTTAGGTCTCATCATTAGTGGCTTGTGGTTTTCATGTCTGATTTGTCCTTTCTTCCAATCTTGTCTGTTCCTCTCAACCTTGGGAACTATACAGGACCGCTATAAGAGCCTGTGTTTTGTGTGTTGGCTTCACCAAGAGGAAGTGAATGTTAAAATCCAGCCCACGTTGGGCACATTTCGCTGTGTACCATCTGCTCAGGGCTACATGTGCCCAGAGTAGGAAGCCTTGCTTAATGCTCATGAAAGCCCCATGTCTGTTCACCATGGTTCTGGAATTACGTGCTGGCTTTGCAGGAGCCCAGGGCTGGCAGCTCAGCCCTTAGACCCTGGCATCCAGAGCACAGGGGTAGTGAGGTGTGTTTGGGGACAGGAAGTAACACATGTCTATCTCACAATTCTATCCCAGAAGCCCCTGATCCCATGAACTCATCTGTGGAGTCACTAGAACCCTTCCAGGAGAAAAACCCAGGATTCCCAGGTGCCCACCCCAAGTGCCCAACCCAGGCCGAGCCCCCTGGCCAGCTGCAGAAGGCAGAAGATGTGTCCCTGCCCACGTCTCTGGCACAGTGGTTACTCCCTTGCTTTCCTCCCTTTCCCGGTCAGTGTTTAGAAATTGGAGACTCCAGGTATAGTGTGCACCTGTGATCCCAACACTCGGGAGGCTGAGGCAGGAGGTGGGCCATGAGATCAAGGCCAGCCTGAACTACGTAATAAGACCTTGTCTCAAGATGAAAAGTTAACTGGAGCTAAGAGAGGTGCATCTGGCTCCAGTCCTCCTGACGGGCACTGGTCCCATGGCTTGTCCAGCAGGGGCTGAGGGCTTGGCTGGCAGGGGCCCTGCTGGTGGAGTGGCTCCCTGGCTGTGCCTGACATCTGTGTGCATGGGGAGCAGGGGCCAGTGGGCCCAGACAGAAGGCAAGAGCCTGGCTGCTCTCCATCTGGCCCTCATTACCATTCGGACAGATGACTCATCAAGGTCCCTGCCCTTCCTGGCCGCCGTGGGTAGATGCAGGCCATCATATGGGCCATTAGGATGATTGTTACCACTCAGGGTGAATCACGCTGGGCCACAGTGAGTATGAGAGAGAGAGAAAGAGAGTGGGGGGAAGGGGCTCAAGACCTCTGACAGCGAGGAACAAGTTTCTTTTCTTTGCCCCATCCTGCCCCCCCAAACAGCTGTAGCCTGGGCATTTAGTCTTTCCTGCTTCCTTTCGTCTTCCAAAGCCAGGGCGTAGAGATTGATTGTCCAGTGACTCTCACCCAGGTCAGCTTGCCCCTCCTGGGAAAAGCCTGCCTACCTGTGAAGGAGGAGCGCCCTCTGCAGGATGTCAAGGGCAAATGCAGGCTCCAAGGGAAGGAGGAGGTGGGTCATTCTAGCGGCTGCACCTTGTAGGGTGCCACAGGTCCTAAGAAGTCCTCTGCTGTGGCATCTTGGGTTACAGATTAAACAACAAAGGTTCACCTGACTCCTGAAGTGTCTTCTGGCTGTGATGGTTAATTCTAGGTGTCAATTTGACTGCATTGAGGAAAACCTTGATATTTGTAAGCCATTACCTGGCTGGGTGTGTAACAGTGTCTCACAGAGATTAGCATGCGAGTCTGAACACACTTGGTGGCGATAATCTACCCTCAGTGTGGAAGGGCATCATCTAGTTAGCTGGGGGCCCAGGGAGAACATGTATGGAAGGTGAATGGATCTCATTGGAAGTTGGCACGGACTCTTTTCTGCCAACTTGGATACCAGACACCAGGCTTGCTGGCCTGGTAGCTCCAGGATTTGTACCAGTGGCCCATGGCTCTCAGGCTTCCAGCCTTGGAATGAATTCCGACATCAGCTTCTGTGACCTGAGGACCTGGCCTGAACCATGCTACCAGTGTCCAAGGCATTCCAACTTACAGCCAGCCTGTCACCGTACTTGCATGAGCCAGTCACCCTAGCATATATTTTTGTGCATCCCCTATCAGTTATGTCTCTCTGGAGAGCCCTGAGCCTACACACTGACCCTGTTCTCCTTCTCCTCATGACTCCCACCCTCAACTCTTCATTGGCATCCTTTCCACAATGACATTAACAATACCTCTGTCATCTCCACTTCCTCCACAGATGACATCCAATGACCCAATGCTACCTCCCCCAGATTGAACTTGTCCTTGTCATTTGATGATTGCCATCTCTTCCAAGCTCATTTTCACCTCTGCTCTCAGCATGATTTTTTTTTGTACCAGGGGTTGAACTCACAACCTTGTACTTTCCAGGCAAGTGCTTGTGCTGCTGAGCTAAATCCCCCTCAGCATGATTTCTGTTGTTTACATATCCGCTGTTACCAGGGTGTTCACCATCTTTGCCTCCACTTTTGCCAGATGGCAATAGCTACAGACACCTTGACTTACTATAAGTTGAAAACCCTCTAAATTGGAACCTAGCGCATCTAATCTGCTGAGCACCATGGCTGAGCGAGGCATGTGCTCTAGAGTTACAGGATGTGTCCCCCGCGCCATCCCATGTGCCTAGCAGTTGCTTCCCAGCAACATGAGCGAACATGGCACTGCAGGTAGCTAGCCTGAGGGGAGACCAAAGTTCAGACTCTGAACTGGGCTTTTCCTGCTATCACTTTTGCACCACTCTTTAAAAAATCATGCTGAGGGGCTGGGGATTTAGCTCAGCAGCATAAGCGTCTGCCTTGCAAGCGCGTGGTCATGAGTTCGATCTCTGGTACCAAAAAAAAAAAAATCATATTGAGAAACATCAAAAGTTGGGGAGAGTCTATTGTCTCCATCCTCACCACCACCCCATGGTCTCTTCCAAAGCTGTGTCTAGTACTGAACCTGGCACTTGGACGAGGAGCCCAAGCAGAAAGGAACATTCCTGCCTGTTTGACAGATGCCCCATTCAGACCTTTCACAGCAGAGAATCAGCAAGCCAGGTGTCCAAACAGTGCCTCCTCTTGACCTGCAAGGCGACTCTTCCTCAAGATGCTTCTGACAGGAATTGATTCAACCCTCCCTTTCAGTCATGCTTATACCTAAAGAGACAGCTGCTATCTGGTTGAAGGACAGAGGCCATTAATCTGGGGCTGCCCTTGTTTGCATAATGATGCATATATTTGCATCTCATTTGTTCCCAGTCCCTGAATGCTGCACTGTGGGTGTCTGGGTACCATTTGCATATCTCTGCAGGTGAGGGTCAGGCCTTTGAGACTCAGGTGCTTATTAACTCCCTAAAGAGATACTTTTATGTGCTGCTTTAGAAGGAGCTTGGAATGCTTGATTGCAGAGTCATTCAGCAGAAGAGCTCTAAGAAGGGGAGGTGAGGAGGCCAAGTCCAGAACCCATAGGGAAGGCAGCAGGAGCTTTGCAGTGGCCGAGGGACGAACACAGATGAGGGCCCTCTGTTCCTCCATCTCAGTTCAGGAGAGTACCCTGCACAACCACTTCTGTCCTTTCTGGGCCAAAGTCCACTGGATGGGAGACCTTGAACCAGTCCCTCCCTGTCCGCAGGGGGCTTGGGACTCACTGTATGGAGAAGGAAGGGGTCAGCCCGGCAGGTCACTACTCATCAGGTTCCAGGAGTTCTCATCCCTGTTTGGTAATTATCTGGGAAGCTTTTTAAAAATATGAGCACTCTGGTCCTGCTGCTAGATATTCTGATTTAATCAGGGGGCCCTGGGCATTGGTGATTTTTAAAAGCCTCTTCTGATTTTCTCACTTGTAGCCCAGACTGAAAGCTACTGCGTGGGACTCCTCGCAGCACAGCTCACCTGGCCTCAATGTCAGACAGAACAGGTCGACATTGTGCTGCTGTCCGAGGCCTCAAGGATCATTCTTCTGACAACCAGCCTATGGCAGGACAGTCTTGGCACTGACCAAAAATTCCCTCCCTTCTGCTGTGGTCTTGCTCCACCCCACCTCCCTGTCATGGTCATTGAATGTGTCTAGAGCAGACTCCTCAGGTACTGGGCAGGGACAGGACTTGAGCCCTATACAGCTGTCCTCCTCCCCTTCCCCCCAGAGCTCCACCCCTTCCTGCACACTCTCAACCCATGTCAGCCGCCTGGGCTTTCCTGCTGCTGGTTCCACGTCTCCACTGGCAGCTCCATCCTGCTCCTCTCACTTACCCCTCAGCCCAGTCGCTGTGTGATCCCGGAGTTCCAGCACAGCCCCCATGCTGGAGGAGGACTCTAGCATTGCGCACAGCAGCCTGACATTGGTTTTACGCAGCAGTGCCTCTTGTGAGAGGCTGTGCTCTAGTTCTTTGAGTGTGCGCTCTGATTTCTGCCTTGTAAACCTCTTTACGCCTCTCACCGGTGCATCCTGAAAGTTCTTTGCGATGAAAGTCAATGGACCTGTACCTGCCCTGTGAATGGGAAGAGTTCATGTTTCCTATCTCCACTTTGGGGAACCACCTTGGACTCGGCCTGGTGACATTTCCTTTGGTGAGCCAGCTCCAGGGAGATGAAGAGACATCAGGATTATGACACTGACTATCAAAAGATGTTGGCTCATCAAACAACAAAAGCCATCTTCCTTTGTGTCCTTAGATCAGTTAGAGTGACAGTTTCGAAACCTGGCTAGGTAGGGTCGGTGCGCCTCCTCCTTGGCCTGAACGAGCCATAAGAAGATGGACCTGCAGCTCCCCCTGCCCTCCTTAAGATTAAGGGAAAAATTCTGGTGGTGGTGGGAATGAGTTAAGATAGAAGAAATAAAAATAGTAGAAAGGAGAGAGAGAAAATCATCATTTAAAAATTGTGCTTTTGAAAAGTCTGCAACTTCAGGACAGTGTAAGTAACCTAAGATTACCCATATCAATAGTCCTGAGATGTGTTTTATACCCCTTTTCTCCCAGGCCCATCACACCCTAGATCACTTAAAGATTCTATAAATTGATAAATGGGCTATTATGGTTGATACATTGTGTCAATTTAAGAAGTTTAACTGAGAGACTCAGCAGGGAGCCAGGATCCTTACTTTATATTCTCGGCCTGTGCAACAGGAGGACACAGAGGTTTTGTGAATGCTATACCCTTCCTCGAGTGGAGGAGTTGGGGTGGCCGTGTACAATATAAGGGAGGAGAAGAGGCTTGTTTTCCCCTTTTTGCTCTGGCTGCTGCCTTGAAGTATTGCCCTGGTGCCATGCCATCCTGCCCTGGAGTGAGCCAATTATGGCCCGAAACCTCCAAAAGCTGTGAGCTAAATAAACCTTTCCTTCCTTCATTTTGGGTGTTGGGTATTTTGTCCCAGCAAAGAGAGAAAAGTAACCAAGACACTGGATTAACTGATAAAGAGCAGAAGCCTGATTTTAAGATAAAGGAACTGACTGAGAGTTCAAAGAATGTTTTTAAACAAAACATCTAAAATGACCCATTTAAAAATCAAAACCAATAGATGCAGCCCATGCATTTCACCTGCGACATGGGCCACTGTCGTCTTTGGGCGTCGATCCTTTTCTTCTGTAACCAAGAGGGAACTTCTTATAGACTCACAAATTTCATAGGCTTCCACACCCTCTGGAAAAACCACAAATATTCCCAGTTCCAGAAAATAATGTACCTGTTTTGAGGGCTCCCACCTATTTTCTTTGAGTGTACTCTCTAATTTCTGCTGGATAAACTTCCCTATTATGCCTCTTTTTTTTAGTCTTTTTTTTTTTTTTTTTTTTTTTTTTTTTATCGGTACCGGGGATCGAACTCACGACTGCCTGCTTGCAAAGCAGGAGCTTATGCCGCTGAGCTAAATCCCCAGCCCCTACTGTTATGCCTCTTAAAAACAAAAAGAAATAATACTCAGTGAGCATGGCTGCACTTGGTACCATCCCAAGCTTCCTGGGGAGGGAAAGGGCTTAGAAAAGGTAAGGATAGTGGGGTGAAGAGGCAAGGGTGTAGCTCAGACATAAATGCCTGCCTGGCAAGTGCAAGGTCCTGAGTTTGATTCCTGGTATCAGAATGATCAAAAAAGTGCAGTGGAGCCTCCTGCACAACTGTCTGTCCCTTTACAGCTGAAACCGTTTGACATTCATTGTGTACGGTACCTGTCACACGTCCTGGAACCAATTAATGATGAGTACACCAGGTACCACAGTAGCTATCTGGCATTGTGTGTGTACCCCAACCCCAAATTATAGGCTAGCCCATGCTGCCAGGCCAGAAGAAACATTAGAAAATGCACGTCTGCTGTTTTATTGATTCTTCTCTTCCCTAGGCCAAAGTTAGCTCAGCAAGACACCTCTTGTTCTGCTACTCTGGTTCTTTGGTAAAATACACACACAGTTTCATTCTTGGAGAACCATCCATGCAGGAACAAAAAGCTCAGGAGAGCGTGGTGTATGCGTTTGCCCATATGCTCCACCACCCAGCCACCGGAGCTCCTGAGGCCTGAGCGATGTGATGGGACAGGGCCCCATTCTTCACACCTGCCCTGGCAAAGACAGCAGCAAAGAGACTCTGAGGCCACTGTGGCTAGGAGATTGTCACAAGGCTCAGAGCTCCTCCTTCCTAACCACTTGCCCTCCAAAAAAGTGTGGCCAGTGGGCAGGTCTGTGTGTGTGCTTGTCGGTGACACCCAGCCAGACAAGATGTTTTTGGCCAATCCTTATGTCTTAAAGAGTCTCCCAAACACCGGCAGGCTGGGTAGGGGACTCTGCCTGGGCAAGGGCCCACTGCATTCCCAGGGGAGAGGCGGGTGAGGCTGCATAGCACAGGCAGCTTCAGGAGACTCTTGTACGCTGAGACATAAAGGTGCAATTATGAGCAGCTGTGAAACCAGCGTAGGACCTGCCTACTGGTCAACTGGCCCAGTCCTTCCAAAGACAGCAGGGAAGGGACTTGTTTGTATGATTGGGAATCAGGGCAGGATGAGGCCTGGGGAGCCTCCTCTGCCTCTCCGAGTCCTGGTGCAGACTCATCCTTCTGAGATGTGCTCAGTATTGTTTTCCCAAAACACCTGGAGGAATCTCAAGGTCAGGGCTATCCTTAAAGCTTTGCTCAGATCTCCCGCAATGCCTTAGAAAGCTCTCCATCGGGAGAGTTGCTGCGCATACCAGCTTGTCCAACCTGTGCCCTCTCTGGGTGCACAGTGGGCAGCTCTCCAGCTGGCCCCTCTCAGCCCCCTTGCATCCTGCAGCTCCAGGATCAACAGACACACAAATCACCCTCTGCAAACCATCACTCCGCAAGCTGCGTGCAGGCTGGCTGTATTGCTGGGGCCCTCATCCTCACACCCCATCCAGCTTGGTCCTGACCTTGTCATTCAGGGTCATTCTGTCCATCCAGGGCATCTGTTTATCATGGGCACCGGTGTTTTCAGAGAAAGAAATCTTTCAATGGCTGGGGAACCTGAGGAAGAGGAGGGCCCCCAGGTGTGAAGCAAATGGATAGGGTCTACTGCTTTCCCTCTTGGATTCACCCAGTCAGTGACATCTCCTGAGCCTCTGTCTGCCCAGGCCTTGGGAATGACACAGAGGTTAAGCGGCAAGGGCCATGATCTCGGCACACAGCATGATCAGGAAGCATGGGTTCCACATGGAAGCAGCCAAAGACCACGCGGAGCAACCTCCATGGGTTGGTGGGACAGACTTTGCCTCTGAAGCTGATCGTACCTGCCATGAGCTATCAGGGAAGGCTTCTTGCAGGAGGAGGAGGAGGAAGCATAAGGCAACTTACATCCTTTTGCATGAGCTCAGCATAAACCATGCAGGCAGCGGAGATTAGCTCATCGGCATCCAGATCAATGAGATTGTTGCAGGCCTAAGCAGGGAGAAATGTGTACATATGTGTGTGTTTGTGTGTGTGCGTGTCCTCAACCTGCCTGACACAGTGCTGACATTGTACGTTCTGGGGTGGTGGTAAGTATAGCTTCCATACTTGCTCTAGGGTGTCTTGGGGCTCCTCTTACATGTCTCAGGAGCTTTCAAGGAGGACTGGATTCTAATTAGGATACAGCTAAAGTTCTTTTAAAACCAAGATATTTTCCCTTTTTGCTATAACATTGGGAAACCAGGTTTTTTTTTCACCGCAAGAGCATCCCGAGGCCAAGTGCCGCCTGTGAGGCAGGAGTGCATAATGGTTAAACCACTTAGAGCCTCTGTCTGTTTTGGGCTGGTTAGGTACAGATGAGCTCATGCCTCCAAAGCTCTCGGTGGAAAGCTGACACTGGGCTCTTCCCTCCTGGAGGCTGCGATGGTAGGGAAGCCTAGGAGCCCAGGACCCTTCCACTGGAATGGGGGTAGTGACAGGGCCTGTGGCGGTAGAGGGAGGGTGGCCACTCACCAGGAGAATGGCATCACTACTCATGCTCTCCAGCAGTGCCTGCTCTCGCACCATCTGCAGCATGCTATAGGCCACGAGTACCTGCAGGTTCCGGCAGGGCTTCCCGGTCAGCAGGACCTGAGGAGTGAAGCGGGTGGAGTGTGGGCCTGGACTGCTGATGCCCTGAAATGGTGAACCATGCACCCACCTACCAGTGCCCAGGGCCAGCTCACCCCAGGCCTCATTGCTGATGTATCCATTCATTCATTCACCCTGCAGTGCTAGCGGTAAAGGCCTCTAAGAATTCATGGCAGAGAGGACTGGGGGTTCAAGTGAGACCAGGGAAAGCAAGAGTAGGTGGGAGCCCAACAATCCAGGGGTGTCACTCAAGTCTTGAGGGTGGTCAGGAACTTGGGCTGAAGACAAGCAGGCTGGGTAAGGGTGTGAGGCAGGTGGACATTGAATGCCAGGCTGAGAGTTGTATAGTGATGGTGGCAAGCTGTTCCCAGGGAAATGCACTTGCTGATGGCCTAGGGCTGATGGCCTAGGCCTAAGGACTGTGAGTGTCCTGAGGACACAGGAGACAGGGAGTCTCCAAGTGCAATCAGCACCATGGAGGCAGAGAAGGCCCACTGAGAAGGAGCAGGGCTCAGGCTGCAGGAACTTCGCAAGAGAAGAATGGATGAATAGGGGCAGGGCTGCCAGGGTGAGAAAATCTTGAGCCACTGAGCTACATCCAAGGCCAGGAATGATGGAAAGACAAAGAAAACTGGCCACTTAGTGTGGGGACCTGTCCCCAGCGTCCTCAGCATCCCCAGTGTTCTCAGTGGAGCACTCACCTCCCAGAGCCGCCAGACGTCATCAAAGGTTTTGAAGGCACGCTGGAAGCAGAGGCAGAACCAAGGGAAGAGGGCCTGCACTGTCCCCGCGCCCTTCCCTTCTGTGAGGAGAGAAGCAGGCCAATGTTGGGGGCCTGGGAAGACTACACACCCAACAAAGCCTATGCACAGAGCCTGCGGGACACTTAGGACATGAGGTAACTCTGGCTGCGACTGTGCAACTGTCCCTGGAGCCTGGGGCTGTGGTCACCAGTGCAGACCCCAGCCCTCTCCTCCTAGTGCCTGCACAGGCCCCCAGCACTGCCCCTCTTCCTGTGACTAAGGACAGCTGCCCCCTCCCCCATCCTTGTCTGGCCAGGGCCTTAGGGGTCAGGAGATGGAGTCCACGCACTCAGGTGCTCAGCAAATGTGGGGTCCAGGAGGGCGATGAGGTGGTTGAGCATGTCCAGGTTCTTGTCCACCCCAATGGTGATGACACAGCTGTTCTCCTGGTACAGGGCGGGGCCAGGGAGGAAAACTAAGTCTCCTCCTCTTCAGTTCTGGAGGGACTGTGTGTGTGTGTGTGTGTACATGCAGGCAAACACATGCCTTGTCCCTGTGTGTGTGTGTAGGTGTGCCCATCAGCATGTGTGTACACCACAGTGTGTGTGTCTGTGCATCTTAATGTATGTGCAGGAGGGTGTGATGGAGATGCAGAGATGTCTCAGAAAAGTGGCTCAAAATCTAATAAAAACCCAGTGACCACCAGACACACACAACACACTACTGCCCCAGAGCCAGTGAGAACAGAGACAACACACTATTACAGGGAGTGGGGGAGGGTGGGGAGAGAGGGAGAGGTAAAGGAAGTGCGGGGAGAGTGGAGGAGAGGAGGAGGAGGTTGGGGTAAGGGCAAGGGAGGAGCAGGGAAGGCAGGGAAGCAGTGGCTTGGAGTGGGCAGTCTCTCCTAGGTCCTGAGAAAAAGCTGCCTGGGGAAAGGGGTGCTCCAGGAGCGGTGCCTTCAAAGCCCCTCAGCCTGGGCAGAGTAGGGGATACACTGGGCAGGGCTGAGTTGCCTCAAGCCACATCTGGATGAAGCACTGGGAAGCAAGAGCAAAGAGGAGGCCTTGAAGGACTGGCTGAGGCTGTGGATTTTCTTTTGGAGGCTGAGGATCGGCAGAGTATTTGGGGAGGGCGATGCCAGGAGAGGGCGCCATCCCAGACCTGGCTGCAACACTCACATTCCAAGGCCTCCTCCACTTCAGTGCCTCCTCTTGAACACCCCCACCCCCAAGCTGCAGTGTTTGCGGGCTGGAGGAGAGGCATAACTGCCCCAGGGAGGGGCTGGGTCCAGGGCTCCCCCTAGGCCTCACTGTTTTCTGCAGGAAGAACTGGAAGAGCCAGAAGGTCTCGTGATCGTGCTCCACCATGAGCTGGAAGAGCATCACCATCTCGTGGAAGCCCCGCTGGTACTCTGCGAAGGGTGCATGGTGAAGAGGGCTTGTAGCACCTGGTGGTGGCCAGACATGACCCTCCCTCTGCTCACCTGCTTGGGTGTTGCACACATAGCTCAGCAGCAGGGTCTTCTCCAGCCTCTTCTTGTCCACCAGGACGTTGCCCAGTGGGTCTTTGTCGTAGAGTTTCTGGATGTCACATGCTAGGTCGGGGACAGGTAAGTGGCACCATACCACTTCCAGGAGAGGGCTTATGGACTAGTCAATCCCTCACCCGGTAAAGCAGCCCCTGGGACCTCCTGGGGAAAGGAGCTCAGCTCTACAGGACACCCTGAGCTGCTGCTTCTCTCCACCTTTGGACCTCTGACCAGGCCATGACCTCTACTGGGAGCACCCCCCACCCTGGCATCCAACTCAAATCCAGTCTGGTTCAAGGCCAGGGGAGGAAGAGAGGAAGACAGTGCAGCAAGAACAGCGAGTGGCAGGGAAATGGCACTGGGAACCTCAGAGCATCTGCAGACATGGGTGGTTGGGTTAACTAAGGAGTGGCTGAGAAAATCCTACAACCTTCTGTCCCCAGAAATGACTGAGGAGGAGGCAGGCTAGCTCTGCTGTTCCCTCTGCCCAGCCTCCTACCCACCCTGCTCACCAATGTTGTTCTGGGTCTCGGTGAAATTCTGGTGCAAGTTCTCCAGGAGGGGCTGAATCTTCTCGTACATGTGGCACAGGGCCTCATATTTCTTCCTGCCAGAATGACACAGCTCAGGTGGGGGAACTCTGTGCAGTAGCCGCTGCTGAGTGCAAGGGGGCACAAGATAGCCTTGCCCACTTTGCCCCCAACCTGTGATGCTTTTCCTGTCTCAGCTTGTGCCAGGCCTGAGCACCTCTGCTGAGAGCCTGGCACCTCCTGGAGGCTGCAGTATAGATGCTGCACCTGCATCCTGGTCCTGTAGCTTAATAACAGGGCATCTGCAGCTGAGGCCAAACCTTGGGGCTGTCACCTTCCCTCTCTGAGCCTCAGTTTCCTGTCTGCAGAATGGGGCTAGTCCTGGCCCCTCTGCACCTCAGGGTTGGAAGGAGTGGATGAAATGGTGTTAGGTATACTCGTCAGTGCAGATATAGCTGTAGACCCAGGAGGCAGCTCAGCCATGGGTGGGGGTGGGGAAGTGGTGGGGGCTGGGCTGAGGCCCAGAGACAAAGGTGGGAGAAATGGCTCTGTGCAGCTTCAAGGCCTAAAGCACAGGCTCTAGGGAGTGCAAAATGTGGGCAGGGGCTAAGAGGGATGGAGCTGGTGGGTTGCTCGGTGCAGGCTAGGGTGGGCACTGCCCACTGCTACCTGTGACCCCATCACTGCACTGTAGCAAATTGGGACATTTTACCTTCTGGAGCTCTCCACTGTGAGTCGCTCATCCTGGGAACTCTGCCACGAGTAGTAGCCGGTGAGGAACTTCCAGGCCTCTGTCCTGACTCCAGGGTGCAGGCCCTGGTGCAGGAGGTGGGAAGCCATGGGCCCTCCAGAAACCTCCCTAATGGCTCTGTCCAGTGCCACGTCTGCCCCCTGCCTCCTGTGCCCCCCAGTCACAGGGAAAGCCAAGAGGAGCTTAGGGACCTTACCCTTTCCAGGATGTTAACACAAATAGAGTCCCGGGACTTGGCCAAGTAACCATCCTCATCAAAGAAGCCATTCCATTCTGTCTTGTCGATTGGTAGTTTTCTCTTTGCCTGGTGTGGATGGTAGGGGGGTGGTATCTTTGGTTTGTTTTTAGTTTAAAGCAACTTTTAAAATGATAGCCTCTGCACTTTGCAATAGGAATCAAAGCTTACAGCTCCTACTTGCAAGGAAATTACTGGAAATAAGTAGAAAAAATTCTGAATGCACCATAATTTTCATTGCACGTTACTGTTCTGCAATAAGGGAATGGGTAACTATGGCATAAATACTCAACAGAGCATTGCAAGCTGTATAAATAGATGTTTACAAGGGATGAATAATAATCTGGAAAAATACAAATGTTAACAGAAAAAAAGCAGAATGCAAAATTACATATTGAGTATTCCACATCCCATACTCTATAGTACTATGATAGCATTTATAGTATCACCTGTCTACTCTGCTCTGTAGCATCATTGCAGTATTTAGAGTATTGTTGATTACACTCTATAATCCTACCACAGTACTTACAGTAATACCTAGGTATGTGCTATGTCTGTTACATTGCTGCATCACATGACTCTACTGTACAGGGCATTTATCACTGTAACAATTTAGAAAAAAAGACTAGGGAAAAACTCTTCTCTAAAAAGAGCCATGATTACCTTTGAATAATAGGATTATAAATAATTTTCCCTTTTTCTTGTATTTTCAAAATTCTCTGTCATGTGGCACTTTGATAGCAGGAGAAAATATAAGATAAGCACTAATGAAATACACTTCTGTGTTCCAGTTTATCTTTCCTGGAAATGTAAAGCAGTTTGCCATGAAGAATGGGATCCAGTTTAGATAAGGTGTGTGTGTGTGTGTGTGTGTGTGTGTGTGTGTGAGAGAGAGAGAGAGAGAGAGAGAGAGAAAGAGAGAGGGGGATATGTATGTGTGTGGGGTGTGTGACGATTTGGTGGGAAGTAAGTGCATCATATGCAAAACAATTTGAAGTGTTTACAAAATAATAACGAGGTGTTAGGGATCCTTTTGGATTAGGGAGAGATGCCTGTCTTCCTAGGGCCTCCCGTCCTGTTGAACAGAAGTATATCTTGAAACGCACATTGCAGAGAGGGAGGTGCTGGTGGGTGGAGACACATATGATAACCCTACTCCCCACACCCCTTTCATCCCTAAACATGGACAGATGTGACTCAGAATTAAGTTTGTATACAAATCACTTGAGGGTCTTCTTAACCTGCTGATTCTAATCTTGAAAATTGGTGGTGCAGCCTAAAACAAAGCATTCCTCATAAGTTCTGGGGGGGCTGACCATGCTGCTAGCCCGTAGGCGATGAAGGATCAGGGCTTTCACAGGAAGTACAGCCCTGGAAAGTAATAATGAGAGTCCAGAGGCACAGCTGGGGATAATTCCATTCACTGCGTGTTTGGAGGGATTGGACTGAGAAAGACATTCTTGAATAATTTGTAGATCCTCTATCTTAACCAAAACAAGACATGGGGCCAGGGAGGTACAAAGAAATGTAAAGGGCCAGGGATGTGACTCAGTGACTAATGCTTGCTTAGCACGCGTCAGGCCCTAGGTTCAATTCCAAGTACTGGGGGAAAAAAAGTAGAAAGAAATGTGTCCTTGGCCTACCTTTGGAAAGCAGGGTGTCCCTGACACGGTGACACAATGGTGACCATCAGTGACTACTTTTTTTGCCAAATCTTCGGGCTTCCCTGCCTACTGCCTGGGTCTCAGCTCCTGCTCTGCCATTTACTAGCTCTGTGACTGTCACCAGATTATGAAGTCTCTGTGCTTCAGTTTTCTTATTTATAACATGAGGATACCAGCGACAGCCACCTCCCAGGTTGTGATGAGAATGGATGACTATAAATAAAGCATTCAGCTCAGTCATTGTGCATGGTAAATGCTGTGTGACAGCTTATTTTTATTACCATTAGCCTTGTTGGTGTTCAGAGAGTAGAAGACAAAAAAATTCAAATCAGGACCTGGTGATCATCTATAATAAAGCAGTAACATTTAAAACTCAGGGAAAGAGATGCCCATTTTGCATTTGTGTGTGTGTGTGTTTCATTCTTAATCACTATGATTAATGAGACTTGAGATTGGTTAAGGCCATTATAATTAGTAATTATGATTTTGAGAAATACTGCATGGAAAATTTTTATGACTGAAGCCGACTTCTAAGGAATAGATGCATTTTATTAACTGGGTTTGGAACCACCTACTAACAAAAGCCTTACTGCCACCTGGTGGCAGCATACCAAAATTGTTAGCAAAAGCACCAAACAATTTATCAGCATCTGATGTAGGAGTATACTTGCGGACCTGAAACTCAATAAAGTCAGATTGACACATCTGGGAGAAGAAAGCAGCACTGGCTTGAGGATAAGGGGGAAGAGGTCATAGGAACCTCAGCACTATTGGTGGTTTTAATGGAGAAGCCAGGATACAACCGGCCCAGCTGCATCAGCTCAGAGTCCCACCCAGCAGAGGGAGGGGGCCACCTGCACCCAAAGGCTGGGGAGGGAGGACTGGGGGCTGGTGAGGTGCACGCACCAGGATGAAGAAGGCCGACTGCCTGGCTGAGAGGCTGTTCTCGGGAGAGAGGGTGGTCATGGCCCCTGCGGGCTGGCTTCACAGCAGCCCCTGACTGGAACTCAGAACTTGCCACTTGCTTGGAGCCCTTGGGAGGCTTAATGAGCAGGGTGAGGTGAGTTGCCTTTAGGAGAGGAGTTGCATTCCCAAGAGGAATTGGCCTTTCCAGATGGACATCTCAGGCTTGAACAAAGTGGACAACTGCGTGTCACAAGGCCCCTGGAACCCGCATCACAATGATCTTGGAACATGGGGGCTTCAGAGGAGAGACACATGCAGGAGCCAAGAGATATAATGAACTGGCCAGCCAGGGTAATTTCCATATATGACGGGATTTGCAATGGACACTGGATTCGGAGGATGTGGGGATCTGTGTGGGTTGTCCGGCACGGTGGAGATGTCTGGCTCTTTCTTGGACTCTTGGTATGTTTCACCAGACAAGTGTCTGGGCTTCTGAGGTTTGGGAGGTCCTTCTCATTGGGGATGGGGGACTCGCAATGCATGTTTATGGTAGTTTCTGGAGGTAGGGGCCAATTTTATTTCATTTATCTTCATATCCAAAGCCCTTAAAACAGTACTCAAATCTTGTCTAACATAAAGCCTGTTGGTCTGGGTACCAACTGAATGAATGATTTCATGGAATGAGAATAAATGTTGCTCTCTGGAATCACATCTCACTTCTCACTACGCATTGTGAAGATTTCTGCATGTCCCATCTCCTCTCCACCTTGGGCATTTCTCAGGACCCTTCTGACTTGAAAGCATCCTTGATCATTAGCACACATAGTAATGAGACAAACCAAATGCGAATCAGAAGCTCGAAGTTGGAATTTGGATTCTGACCTCCAATTTAGATGCCCTCTCCCCACTCTGAGCCACAGATTCTCCAGCCGTGAAATCAGAGTACAGTCAACTTCTGGCTCAAGTCTCGTTAACACAATGAATCAGTGTCCCTGTGGAAGTCCTGGGTGGATACGATTCACGGTCTTGTGCATTGGAATGGATCTGCTGTCCTGAGGCTCTGGGTGTGCCTTACAATCCACCCCCTCCACCAGCCACCCCAGTATAAGCAGGTGCTGCTGCCCCGGGGTTTCCACAGAGCAGGAGATGGGCAGCACGGAGTAGGGAGGAGACCCCATCCACGTCAGGAGGCCTCATGCAGAGATCTGTGGAAGTTTCCAAAGCAAATGCGGGGGCAGGAGACAGAGTGTGGGAGCCACTCTCAGGGGTGACAGTTGCCTCTGTTCTTCCACATTAGCTGTGAAGACACAGAGAAGGCACAGCGAGTTTCCCTAGGAAGATGGGCACCAGCCAGGCAGCTGGAGAAATCTCAGTGCTAAACAAGTGGCTTCTAAAACGAACATGGTAGTTCGTTTTAGGTGATCATCTACTGATGCTCCTCTAACCTCTGGCTCCCCATGTGCACAGTGGAAGTCATATCTCTCCCCATTAATGAGCAAGCTCAGGCTCCAGAGCTTGGCTGCAAAACAGAAATGCAGGACCCGCGCCCAGGCCAAAAGCAACTTGGTCTCTCCTCCTCTCCACTTCTTGTCAGATTTGTGAGCAGGACTTACACATGTCTATTTTTTCCTGGGCTCCATGGTCCTTGCCACACCCATTTTTGTGCATAATTGCTGTAGGACTTTAAAGCCCCATGCATTACTTCATTTATGCATTTCTCCCTGATGGGAATGCAGCTTTCTGCTTTAAATTTCTGTGCATGGAGATTCTTCAGGGGGTAGGACTCCCAGGTTGTAGGATACCGTTCTTGGTGTTTGCATTAATGAAGTCCTGGGAGGAAGGAAATCTTCCAGCCCATCTTTTCTCAGATACATGCACTGAACGGTGTCTGGGGACAGGGGGTATCCATGAAGTGAAAAACTGCCTAGGGGATTTGGATTCAAATCCAGATCCTATGCCAGCCTCTGCTTGCAGCCTTTCCCACGCTCGGCCTCCTCAGAGTGGCCCAGACCAAGGAGCCCTCAGCCAGTGGGCTCATCCCCTAGGTGGGAGTGTGGCTCCCAGCTCCGGGATCAGGGTGTGCTCCTCATTCTGCTCAAGTGTGCATGTCACCTGGCACCTGGCCAAGGCCTCTGCTGAGTCTGTGCCAGGAGAGGGGGAGAGGAAATCCTTTAACTGCAGCCTTGAGAGGGGTACTGCAGACCATTGCCCTGTGCTGACTGTAGGCTGAGGCCTCTAACCACAGGCCCAGATGCCCACTGTCCAAGCTCACCTGGTTCTGCTTCTTCTCTATATGAGTTCAGCTTTATTCCACCCAGTGCCTGTGTGAGTGGTGTCTTCCTTGGCGACAACCGCCAACCATGGAGTGGGTTGACACCTGAGACTGCTGCTCCTGGCAGCAGGCATTGTTATGCCATTTTCTGTCCTCCACACAATGAGACTCCTCCCTGGAGGCGGGGCGAGTCATCATTGCCTTGACACCATCTCTGCTTCTGTCTGAGTCCCAGCACCTGCTCTGTGGAGCCAGGAAGAGGAAAGCAACCTCTGGCACCAATGAGAAAGAAGCCATGGAATGCAAAGGGCCCAGTGTGGCCCAAGAGCACAGATATACCCGGTGCATGGGCACTGTTAGCCCCAGCATGGTCTTTATTGCTACCAGTGCCTGGGGCTTGTCCATAAACCTCCCTGTGAAAATCTCCTCCTATGCACTCAGCTCTAGACAAGAAGCCACCTGCTTCCCAAACCTGGTAGTAACATCCACATCCAAGCTCAAAGATCCCACGAGCCTGCCAGTTTCTACTTCTCTGCGTGTCCCCAGGAATCTGACGGGCCAGGATTACTATAAAAGACTGGTATTAGGAACTGAGATGACTCCAGTCTCCCTTCATGTCAACACAACAGGACACGGCTCTGAAATGCCATGCAACTGTGTCCCTGGTAACAGGTGTCCACCCTTCAAAGGATGTCTGGACCGGCCTGCCAAAGTCTAGGACACTCATCTCTCCACGGAAATCACATGCACTCTGATTCCATCTCATTGCCAAGTGCCAAAGATCTCTGATGCTTAAGGCTGTGTTTCCTCTCTACCCCTCTTTATGGGGAGCCAAGTTAAGTTTAGATTTTTGGCAGCAGGCTTTCTGCCCTAGCGCCCACAGAGCAGGGTACTTGTGACAGTGCTGGAGACAGCTGCACATCATGTATCACAAGCTTTTGAGAGCGGGGGTGGAATGCATAGAGAGTAGAGCTGAGCATAGAGGTAGCAAATGCCATCCTGAGTTACTGCTGCATGTAGACCACACCATAAGTCCTAGGGAGCATCCTCCTAGCCAGTTGTGAAGGATGCCAGAAATGACCCATAGGAGCCACTCTGGTCAAAAGGGAGGCCTGAGCCTTGGCAGTGGAGGCTGAGCTCCTAGGAGCACTCCCTGCTCTAATACACCCAGCACTGCTCACCAGAGTAGTGCTCATGGCTGTCCCTGCCACCTGTCCCAGCCCAGGACACTGTCCTGCCTGCTGCCTGCCCACATCTCCTGTTCACTTGGCCTCTGGAAATCCTAACCTCAGCTGTCTTTATTGAACACCTGCTATATACTTCAAGACAAGGGCTTTACATTTGGTTTACATTGCCGATGAGGACAACAGAAACTTAGAGAGTTTAAGTCTCCTGTCTGGAATTGCCCAGCTAGTATGTGGGGAGTCGAGAATCTTCCTAGCTCTGTCCGGCCCTATCATAGCTAGACATCTCTGTGTCGTGTGTCTCTGTGTCAGCCCTTCTCTGTCCTATTAGTGGTGCAGGGTCTGGGCTCCTACAGCTCCAGCTCATGGGGAGTGGGACCGGTTCTGCCTTCTGTCCAGGTTTTGAGGTAGTCCCTCGGTCAGGAAACGGAGTGTGGTGATGATGAGGGTGGGGGTGGAGGCAGCGGAGAAGTGCAGCAACCCACCCATAAGGGAGCTGGAAAGAGTGAAATGGAGAAGAAAAAGGACAAGATTCCAGCAAACACCAGGGACTGCTAATGGAGAGAAATAACGTGCCTAATTACATTTCGAAAGGCTACCCATTCCAAAATGAATTTTTAATGAAAAAATAATGCATTTTCCCTGCAGTTTCAATCTGGAAAAGATCAAGAAGAGCTCCCAGTGTAGGAAAGAGCAGTCATGTGTGTGTCCCGGGCACCGATGCATGCCTTACCTGGACCCCACCCAGTGCTTCAACCCCAGGCACCTGTTATGTCATCTGTCATGGAAACCACCGGATCAAGCCACGGGGGCCTTGCATGCAAGCAGGAACACCAGGTGCGGATTCCTCATCCATCAGCTCCCAGAGGGCTCCTCTCAGCAGGGACTCTGTTATTTTCCCTGGATGCCCTTATTCCACCAAGGAGTTCTGAGCCTTAAACCAAGGGTGCAGAGGTGAATGCTTTTGTGAGACAATGGCTCTGTTTGCTGAGGGGTTTGGGAAAGGTGAGTTCTGTTCTCCACTCTTTCTTGCACAAGGTGTACCTCAGAACGGGGAGAGAGAAGGATGAGATTCAGTGTTAAACCCAGGTTCAGATTCCAGTTTTAGGACTTCTAATATATGACCCAAGGCATTTAATTTCCCAGACTCTGTTTCCTTATCTGTAAAATAGGGTTCTGCATACATTGGTTGTGTGGTTTAAATTACGTCTGCAAAATGACTGGCACAGTGGCCAGCATCTTCCAAGAATGCCACCCATGACAGTTTGTGCTATTTGCACTCCACCAAGTTGGCTTGCAGGCCAGGGGACTGGCCTCTGCCAGTTCCTCTTTGTACAACTACCTGGCCCAGGTAGCGAAGGATCACAGGCTCAGTTGTGATCACTGGGGTGGCTGCTGACCCTTGACCTCAAATGGGCTATATGCCAAGGGCTCAGCTGTCCCTCTGGGGCAGAGGAGGAAGCAAACCAAGGCCAGCAGGAAGCCCTGCTGGATGAAGAAGAGGAGGCACTATTGTCCAAGAAGAAGAGGAGAAATACGTTGCCCTCAGGTACCTGTCACGTTCTGCAAACACTATCTAGCACCTTTTGGATTTAGCACTGCGCAAGACCAAAAAAGGCAGGACCCCATACATCAATATTTACTCCTCAACATTTTTAGGTACACAGAAACACACACCCAGCCCCCACATGATGTGCATACAAATATACACACACAACTCATCACTACATCCCCACATTTGCCTGCTGCTCAGACACAGCACCAAAGCAATCTGGAGGACTTTGCATCTATGCAAAACTTGCATGCCACTGTGTACACATGCACACACAGAGACACACCCAGAGAGAGATACTTGCTTCACTGGTACAGATACTTGGGCTCACTGTTCACGATGCTCTTCTCTGGAAAGACCTCAAATTTAGGAGGCCAGGGACAGAGTGACAGTGTGATTGGGTATAAGGACATCCTTGAAGGTAAGACCAGGTGCTGCAGTGGTGGAAAGGAACTGAGGTGGTACTGGGGCAAGAGGTGGGTACATTCTTGAGTCCTGGTGGCCTGGAGAAACTCCCTGATCTGGCCTGGAACACTCTAGCACCATCAGGCAGAGCAGGAGGGCAGGTCACACTTCCTCCTCACTCTTCCCTGATTGGTCCCTTGTGCCCCGGGAGACCCAGGGAAAGGATGTGTCTGGTTGCTGGGGTTCTCAGCTCATGGGTCTACGTGGAGGAGTGGGCTCCTGTTACCTTTACCCTATCTCTGGGAGCCAGGGGGCATGCAAAGGATCTGCTGCCTCTTCTACTCTGTCCCTCTCCAGCCTCCTGGGGCACAGTCACCTTGAAAACATGTCTGTAGCAATCCCTCTGAACATGACTTGCCCAACACTAACAGGATTTCAAGGAAAAACATGTCAAAACAAAAAGCCAATAAGGTCAAGGTCAAAAGGTCAATTCCTCTGGGACAGAATTCAAGGACAGTTCTACAATCTGAAGCCACATAGAACTCTGATCCTGGGCACAGGCTGGTCTTGACCACAGAGTTTTTATTTGACTCTGAAAACATTCACAGCAACTCTGCTCCCCAGAGAAAGGAAGCTCCAGAGAGGTGCAGTAACTTGCCCAAGGTCATACAGCAAATCAAAGGCAGACCTGTAGCTAGAACACAGTATCCTGCCTCCTGGAGCTTTAGATCTCAGCAAAAGGTGATGTTTTAAAGCCACACTTTGAAGAAAAGAGAGGGAGTGCCTCTCGCAGAAGGGGGAGCCATGTGAAACCTGGATGAAAGAATTGCAGGCAGTCTTCCTTTCTAGTACAGAAGTGTTCCTTTCCCTGCTCCATCTTAACCTCTAGGCAGGGTCAAGCACAGGCCATGGAGAAGCAGATTGTGTTCAAGCCCCTCATCCTGGGGTGGGCAGGGAGGCAGGCCAGGTGGGCTTGTGTTTGCACTGCCTCCTCTGCTTTGGTCTTTTGTAGAGCAGTGGCTGCAGAAGCTCATGACACAGCTGTGCAGAGAGGCTGAGATAAGAAAGAAGATTGATCTTTCTGCTGCTTCAAAGAGAACAGAAGCCATCCTGTCATCGCTACTGATCAAAGTCTCCACAGAGGATGTGTTCTGTGCCTACCCAGCCCACTGCAGCTCTGGAGACAGGAGTCCCACTCCTTGGGACGCAGAGGTCTCTCCCCAAGTCCTGCTGCACAAGAGACCCCCACTTCCCACCAGGGTCTCAGTAGCTGTAGGAGCAGAGTGTTTAAGCTCCATGCCAGCCGTTGTCCAGGGCAGCTCTGCCCAAGTGGAGGACCTGGCTTGTGGAAACTAAGATCATCCTCATGGCACGGATGAGAAACTGAGGCAGAGAGTGATGTTTTAGCTACTTTTCTCATTGCCAAGACACAATACCTGGCACTTGCAATTTAAAAGAGGAGCGGTCTATTTGGGCTCACATTTCCTAAAGGTTTTAGTC